GTAAAGTCTTCTGTTTCCAGTTGGGCCTCTAGGTTATCAAGATGGGTAAGCTACCTTGTCAGGTTCCATATTACCTCATCATTTACAGCTCTGATTTTCACTTTCCCTTTTATTTCTGGTACCTAGGAATTTTTCTTTCCTTCCTCCCTCCCTTCCTCCCTTCCTCCCTCCCTCCCTCCCTTCCTCCCTTCCCTCCTCCCTTCCTCCCTTCCTTCCTCCCTTCTTTCCTTCCTTCCTTCCTCCCTTCCTCCCTCCTTCCCTCCCTCCCTTCCTCTTTTTAATATTTTTGCTATATTATCTACTATCTCTAAGTATTTGTATTGAAAGAATTTCAGGTTATCTTGGTCCATATCTCTGTAGGGATAGATACCAGGACTATTTCCCTGTTTACAAGGTCCTACTTATTAGGGCAGAGAGCAGGGTATACATTCAAACCAGGGCATTCAGAAGACCAAATGAATACTGTATGTATATACGTGTGTGTATTTGTGTATGCATTTGGTAAGTATTTGAAACAAGCCTAAGTACTATAGGCTGCTTCAACTTGAATAATTCAGAATTTTGCATTAGTCTTTTGGGAATTAACTGATGATTACTAATTTTAAACACTACTGATGAGTAACAATGGAACTGAATTCCATTTCTGGTTAAGTTCCTCATTTAGGAACCATTTAGCAGCTCATAAAATGTTTTCATTATTTTTAATGAGTTGTAGTAAAATCTGATTCAATGGCTACTGTCTCAGAGATGTAGAACTATGCTGAGTTGCCTAGTGTGCCACAGTGATTAAAAAAAAAATAGGGTTCATGGATTTGAATTCTAATTCCAGCACTTCTTAATGAGTCATTATAATACTCAAAATAGGAAATATACTTAAATAAAAATCACTAGTCTGAAGAATATTTAGAGGCTCCAAAACTTCAGATATACAACAGTTAGACACTGATAATTCCACACATTTATCTATTGAATGCTTGCCATATGGAAGGTGGTACCCTAGGTGCTATGGGAGATACAGAGTCCTTTCCCTCTGGGAGCTTACAGCTCAGGTAGGGAGCAGTAAGACATACAAATGAGTGTAGCGCAAAGCAGCATTAGAGCAATGACAAGTATACTACAGATGAAAGGCTCCAGTGAAGGCTATCACTTAGTTCTGAGCAATCTGGCTTCTCACTTTGGGGTGTTGAGTGTTTTCATACTAAGTAGCCCAAGCCATAGCCCAGGCAGCATCTGAGACCTGTTCCTGAACTTGATCACCTAGCTGTTCCATCTCCACACAATAAACACATATTTCTAGTCACTTTGTCTGATGTGTCCTCTCAGATTTAGCAAGGGGAACCTCCACAAGGACAGTATTTGTAGGACACAGGAGAAGTTCCAAGAGGCACATCTACAGGTTATGAGAACAAATTTATGCATGAAATGTTAACTACAACACCTAGAATTTTCTTAAAAATTTAATCATATAGAATAATATGGGAAAAATGCCTAAGTGGTGTTCTTTAAAATGCCCAAATTAGAGATGACTGTGAACAAGAGGGTTGGAGAGGCAAGCATAAAATGTACAAGACAGAAAAGAAGAAATGATAGCCATTCACAAGTGGCTGCCAAACACACCAGAAGCTGTGACCATGGTGAAGTTTAGGAAAATTCATCCTGAGCCATATGCCTAAGCCAGCCCTTCTATTTGCGATGGTCAGGGAGGGCTGTGAGCAAGGGAAAGAGCATTGGATTGCACGGGGTGAGGGGAGAGGAAGCTGTTGGGAGACCTGGATTCAAGTCTAAACTCTGCCACTGACTTAATGGGTGGTCTTGTGTCAATCATTTACCCCCACAGGATTTCAGTCTCTTCATCTGTATAATGGATCTTTTGAACATATAGGTCTCTTATATTTCTAAAAGTATATGAAAAGCTGGTAGGATTTTGAGTGATAGAGCTGATGGAGCAGGAAGTCTTCAGGTGGAAAGAGTGACATTATTTAAGGAACAAAAGGAAAATAATGCAGAACTTGAGCACTGACCTCTTCACAATAAATCAGTAGACTCCATAAAATAATGATAAAGGTGGTCCAAGCATGATTGTCTCTGTCTTCCCCTTTTAAACTGTGGCCTGCCTCTGGATCCCCTGTGCTAGCATGATGCCTAATATAAAACTGGTGCTTAATAAATATTTGTGAGAGGAAAGGAAGGGAGGAGAAATGGAAGGGAGAGAAGCGGGGAGGGAAGGAAGCAAGTTAGCCAGTTTGGGAAGTCCTCTCACAACAGGTGCCACATCTTGCGGCAGGGATCCCTGTATTTAATGGCCTTTCATATCTGCAACAGTCTGTTTTAAAACAGAGCTGTTTACTTAGAATGCTTTTATTATGAACTGTGTTTGTGCTCAAAGGGCTTCCAGCTGTGGTAGCTTTTAGACGGTCCTTTTGTTGTGTGTACATAGTGTCATCACAGGTCATTTCTGCCCAGCCAGTCAGTTTCATTGACTCAGATGGGGCCGCTTTATGGATGAGCTATATCTTTTTCTTGCTTAATTTTTACTGCAGACAATAAATATTTTATGCCTAGAAAGACAGTTCGTTTATTCAACAGATGATTATTAAACACCTTCCAAAAGCTAGGCATTGTGTGAAACACTTGCAATAAAGAGGTGTATAATATAGACAAAGTCCCTGCCTTTACAGTGTCATGGGGGAATCTCACATTAAATAAATAATTATATGATAATTAATTAATGCAATTGTGATAAATGTTTTAAAAGGTAAGTACCGAATGTTATGAGAAAAATCTCAACTAATTTGGAGGAGTTCAGCCAAGAAAGTAAGATAAAATTAAAATTTTAAACATCTTAAAAATTTCCCCGTTTGAAATATAAAAAGATAAGATTACTCCCATAGGTTGTTGATTATATTAAGCATATCTAAGTTTGGTAAGATAGACTTGTCCACAGAGGCATAGAATCCTTAGCAATTCAATCCTTTAATTTAACAAATGACTGAAAAGGGAGAGATTATTTACCCAAGAACATACAGCTTCCACTGGCAGGGCTAGGACGTGAACACAGGCCTGCTCATCCTCCCATTACCTCTCCTTGGTGACTTAAAAAATAGACATTATATATCAAATATAGATCAGCCATGGCCAAATGAACTATTAATTTCATTCGGTGTAAACTTGTATATTGAGTGGGAGAAGGAGTTTACAGAGTAATGAATTAGGCAAATGCAAATATAAACAGAAATACACAAAATATGTCTTATCAGGCTGACTGTATCTGGTCATAGAAAAACCGCAGTGTATAGACCAAAGTGGGAAATACCCAGCTGGAATTAGTGAAAATATATTTAAAGGAATATGCTTCTATTTCTTTAAAATATAAATACTAAGGGCTAAGTACAAGTCTCCAAGTAGAAGTTTTTAAAACCCATTTTTATTCATGTGTAATATTATATGACATGTAAATTATTCTGACTGCTTTGCAGCCTGAGTGGTCTATAGGTTAGGTTAAACGTTGTTTGTGATATTTTGTTCTAATATATAATTTCCCTAGCCTACCCTTTCATCATAGATACTATAGCAATTAGCTTCAGGCCAGCAACATCTGATTCTTCCTAATTTTTTGTTTGAAAGATTGGGAATCAGTGAAATGTTACTATTCATACCAGAGATTGTGGAATTAGTTGAATCATTGAAACTAAAAGGAGTATGAGGCTTCAGGGAGAAGGCCAGTCTTGAGTAGGTATCAGAGAGAGCACCCACCACTGTGCTGAGCATACACTCAGCCTTGAGTAAACATATGTTGAATTGGGGAGACAAAAAGTTAGTAATAAGTTAAACCATATAAAATTTCCATTTTTATATGTGAAAAACAGTCAAATATTGGTGACTTTATATGATTCAGCCTGTTACACAAAATGACCAGAAGGAACCTGTACTCTAATGTCAACAAGTATGGGTATTTAAGTACATGTATATTGGCTATCCTCCAGAATTTAACAAATGAGAAATTCTAGTAGTTGAATTAACTTTTAATTTCATATGAAATCACGATTTAAATGTAGGCAGATGGCATAATCATTTCAGAAGCTAAAAGTATTCTAAAAGATCTGCAACTTAGATAAATTCTAAGTTAGCCACACTTCATGAGTGTGAATGTTGTGGGGAAATACTTATTTGATAACCAAGCTTTAGTGGCGTGGTGTGGTGTGGACCAAAGTTAACCAGGGTATTTTGCTGTCCGCCTCTTTCTCTGCTGACCAGGGGGTTACTTCCTAGTCCTTTACTCTCTCTCAGTCCTTAGTCCCAGTGCTGAATCTCCAAATTTATCTTAGAAAAAATCAGGAGAAAAGGGAAAGGGAACTGGGACCGGCCCCGTGGCTTACAGTTAAGTGCGCTGGCCCCGTGGCTTACAGTTAAGTGCGCACACTCTGCTACTGGAGGCCCGGGTTCGGATCCCGGGCACGCACCGACGCATCGCTTCTCTGGCTGTGCGGCGGCCGCGTCCCACGTACAGCAACTAGAAGGATGTGCAGCTATGACATACAACTATCTACTGGGGCTTTGGGGGGAAAAATAAATAAATAAATAAATAAAATTATTTAAAAAAGGGGGGAAGAGAACTAATCATTGTGAAAATGAACTAAGTATCAGGTGCTTTACTGGACAGTTTATGTATTACTGCATTTAATTCTCACAACAACCTTATGAGACAAATATTTCTATTTTACAGTTGGGGAAACTGAGACCTAGAGAGGTTAAATAACTTCCCCAAGGTCACACAGTTTGTAAGTGGTAAAGCTAGGCTTCAAACATTCTTATTTTCACTATATACCGTGCTACTCATCTCATTGTTTATTTGCTTTTTTATATCCTATACACTTTAAAAGTGCCTTGTCTAATTATAATAAATTCACAGAGGAGTAAGACAAGGGGATTATCATTGTTTTTTTTTTCTTTCAAAAAACTAATATGGAAAAATGCATTTGAATCTTTTCCTTTCTTTTAAGGACGAACGTGAAGCCAGAGAAAATGTGAAGAGAGAGCAAGATGAGGCCTATCGCCTTTCACTTGAGGCTGACAGAGCAAAGGTAGGTTTGGTCAAGGCACTTCTGAGATAAAGAACTCAATCCTAAAAAGTCTTTCATTATTTAAGTGCCAGCCCTTTTATCACTTTGATCCCTAAGAATGTTGAGTTTGCAATGAAGAAAGCTAGATTCAATTAACAGAAAGAATATAATTCTACCCCTGGTTCTTAAAGCATGGTTCATTTTGACAAGATAAAGTTTTTCAAGAATCATGAAGACTGAAAACAAAAATGGGCCTAGTATCTATTTTGTTTTTTAATCAGTCTATGATAAAACCAAACAATTTTTAAAAACCTCTTGCAGTGATTCTAATGTGCAGTCAGGGTTGAGAACCACTGGTTTATATAATGTTTCTTGAGCACCTGCTTCTGTACTGGGCACTGAAGGAGAGGAAAATGAATAAGCCACAGTTTCTGCCCTCAAAAGAAGGCTCACAATGTGGTGTAGAGTAGATTAAGTCAAGAACAGATAGCTGTAACAGTTAGGCAAGGATCCTTAATGTCATAAGGAAGGCACTGAGTTCTATGAAGAGTTCATTGAGCAGAGTTTCAGTGGAAAATTTTTTCCAGCTTTTTTGAAGAACCAAGAAGTGGGATTATACTGGGGAGAGTTTCTTAGAAGAGGTCATACATGTGAACTGGATAGAGAAAAAGGGGCAGGGGAGGAGAAGTAATATATGCTAGCAGCAAGGGGCCAGAAAGCATGAGTGCATGATAGAGGCTGATGTGAATAGAGCTTGATATTTGAGTACAGGAGAGGTAGCAGAAAAGACCACGAAGGAAGACCAGAGAAAGATTCTGAAGGATCTTGAATGCCACACTACTCAGAGCTGCTGAGGTGGTTAAATAGGAACCCAGCATGATCAAAGAGCTGTGCTTTGTTGTTGCTTTTGTTTCCATTCTTGTTCCAGAGAGAAACACTTCCATTACCACGTTGTATCTCTGGGGCATGCTTGGAATGAGGTCTTTTTTTTTTTTTTAAGTAAACCAGTGTTTATTGAGTGCTGGCTCCCTTTCTCTTTTATCCACAGAGAGAAGCTCATGAGAGAGAGATGGCAGAACAGTTTCGTTTGGAGCAGATTCGCAAAGAACAAGAAGAGGAACGTGAGGTAGGGCATACCTTTTAGAAAAGTTATTCAAAGTTATTCAAAAGCTAGGTTTATTTCCACTGTTTTTGATACTGAGGCTGTTAATATTTCTTACAACTTACTTCTTTCCACTTTTCCCAGACTCATTTTAGTATGGAAGACCTAAAAGAATCATTCCTGAAATGTTGTATGGAACTCTTAGAAAACTTGACCTTGTACTATATTCATGGCTTTCTCTTCTTTTCAATTCCTTTCGCCTTTTCTTGCTTGACAAATACTTCCATCCTTCCTGGATAGTGTCTCAACCCAAGAAAACAAAGACTGTATTTTCTGCCGTTTTCCCAGGCTTCACTTTACCCACCAAAAGACATTGTGAGTCACTTCTGCAACATCTTGCACTGGGCCTCTAAATATGGGAAATGCATTTAGCTTGGCTGATTTCCCCCCCTGAATTCATGTCATATTCATAACAATATAAAGAATTTTTCATTCACTCATTTTGCAAATATTTTTTTGAATACTTAGTACATGCCCAAAATCTGTTAGAGGGTAGGATATAGACATGGGTCCTCCCCTCCAGGAGTTCATAGCATTGTAAAAATAGAATTACAATACCATATATAAAAATTATTATAGAGATTTGCCTAAAGTACAATGGGAACAAAGAGAAGGCGTGTCAAATGACTTCCTGGGATGACTTTACAAAAAAGGACTTTGAGGGCCGGCCCTGTGGCTTGGTGGTTAAGTGCGCGCGCTGCGATGCTGGTGGCCCGGGTTCGGATCCCGGGTGTGCATCGAGGCACCACTTCTCCGTCCGTCCTGAGGCCGAGTCCCACATCCAGCAACTAGAAGGATGTGCAGCTATGACATACAACTATCTACTGGGGCTTTGGGGGGAAAACAATAAAATAAATAAAATCTTTAAAAAAAAAAAACAAAAATAAAACAAAAAAGGACTTTGAGAACTTTTTTCTAGACATGGGATTAATAGCAAGATTCACTTGTGAAAAAGAAGCCATCTAACAAGTCATAGAAAGGCCTGGAGGGCCCTAACTTGGGCTGAGGAAAACTCTATCATCATTCTTGGTCAGAGGATGCCACCTCATGCTTAGTCAACAAATGTTTCTTGAACAAGAACAGTGCTGAGCACTGAAAGAGAAACAAAGGATAATAAAACATTTTCTGCCTGCAAGAAGAGATTACATCTTGTAGGGAAGATAGAACATGTCTACAAGTAACAACAAATCAAGGAAAAATGTGCTAAATAACATAGGAGAAGTAAAAGCAAAATTGTTAGGGCGTTCAGGGGCAAAGTAAAAATCTTTTACAGTTTTGAGAATCAGACACCATAGAAGTGATATTTGAACCAGGTCTTGAAAGATGTGTAATATTTCACTGTTTGGAAATCAAAGTTTATTCATGTTCAGACACTTATTGAGTGCCTATCACATATGTACAAGATACTATGCCTGACAAACCCTAGTCTCTGTGTGATGAGGACTCTCAGTAATGGAATGTAGAAAATATTTTGTAGAAAATACTGTGTATCAAATACTCTGCTAGCTGCTTTACATATGCTCATTGACCACTGATACAAGCTACAAGGTTAGAGATTTCTCTTCACAAGTGAGAAAACTGAAATTCTCTGAGAAGTCACACATAGAAATGGGAACAGCTGAGATTCCCACCTAGGTCTTTATGACAACGAAGCTCATGCTCTTTCACTTACTCCATTTCACTACAAGGCCATATATCATTGTATGTGTCTATAGGAATCACGTATTCAGAGTTTCACAAAAGTTTAGATGAGAGAGAGATTTGTCACTATGCTTTTAGGCTATTTCAAGAAATATAGTTTAAAAATTTAGGACTCTCACTCTTTCATGCTATCTTTCACACGTGCTCTCTCTCTCTTAATAGTATATCTTCAGCCATATACTTGCTAAATGTTAAGTGTACACAATGAACTGCATGTTCTGGATCTAGAACTTGGTAGCATATATACTTTCTTCTGATGATTTGCCTTCTTTTCCCTGGGGTAAAATTTTCTCTCTTTCCAAATGTAGAAAAAGCCTGTCCTCTCATAGAAGACCCCATTAACATCCTTTAGCATACCTCTCTATATATGTTCCAGCTGTAAAGATGTGAGAGAATGGGGCAGGGAGGACAAGTCGTATTTTGCAACTAGTCATTACTTGCACTTGCATTGATGTGCTCCCAAAAACCAAGTTCAGGTAATGCTATGTACTCTACGCACCCTCCCCTCCAGAGTCACAATTAAAGGCTCTTATAAAAATCCCATCATTAAGAAACTATTTATCTTCTGTTTATCTTTATTTAATTCAGTCTTATCCAAACTTATGCGACCCTTTTTTTCATGGCGCACCGGTTAACATGTCAGCACAGTAGTGTACAACAAACGACTCTGGGAAAAGCTGGTATTGTGCGACCTCTGAAGAAACTGAGACCCAGAGAGATTATATGTGTGCCTATGGTCACCAAACTGGTTGGACACATAATCTAGACTAGAAGCCAGGTCACCTGACTTTTCATAGTAACACTACCTCCCCTTCTAACCAGAAATCCTAACCCATGTAATTGCACTAAGAAACAAGGGTGGTTTTATTATTTTGATTAACTCTAGTATTTCAAAATCCTTTAGAAAAATGAAGTATTGAATAGTCAAATCACCTTGGTTACAGGGAAATTCCTTAGTGGTTGGCCTCATTTTGCTGTGTGATAACTGTTGGAGTGAAATCAGTAAAATCTAGGAGGCATTTTGATCTAGTCCTTGGCTATGATAAGGAGAATGGCTTTAAGACGATTCTGAAGGACAAAGAAATGACAGCAAAAATCTTCCCTATTTTACTAATTCATGTTTACTTATTCTTTCCAAAATGAGTTTCAAGTAACTTACATAAATACATGCAATTCAGCTGGATTAAAAAAGGAAGAAAAGATATAGTAATCAGAAACTAAGTGCAAATAAAGGAAGATAAAGCTAAAGGCAAGATTAACGTGTTGACAACAGATAATCCAGTACAGGCACCGAATGCATGTGATAGGATTCTGAACGTTTTGTGCAAGATGAGCCACAAAATTTGTTCTCTACTTTTCTTGGGCTAAAACAAATGAAAATATGATTGTTCACATTTCAGTCTATCTGTAACATCAGATAAAGGCCAGTCTCTCAAAAGGTGCCCAGGTTTTTCAAGCACTAAGACCTTAGAGCAGTGTTTCCTGTGGTTCTGCTTCAAGAGGAAGCTATACAATATGGTAAAGACTATCCCCAACTATATCCAATAGGTATAATAGCAATAGCAAGTCATGTATAACAGCTTCTTATAACTTTATGTAATTCAAAGTCATAAGACCAAAGCACAATTTAGTAAAAGCATCTCTGCAAAGGTCCAAATAATACATTTTTCTGGTAGTCCAGTTTAAAGGATGGATTTTATAGTAACTAGAAAAATGTATGAACTACATATCTTTTAAGAAATCCTCCCTGAATATTGTTTTTTGCCACTGAGTTTTTGATAAGTAGAGAAAGCTTCAGCTAAGACTTCTTACTCC